AAAACAAAACAAAACAAAATCTATGTGTATAGCAGAATATTGTTAGGAATCATTACATTGATGATCTCCTCTCCCCTCCCCCGCCCCAGTCAAGTTTGGTTCTATCCTAGGTCTCTGGGTCATCCAGCCTCTGGGTTCTGGTAACCCAGGCAGTGTCAGAGGTGGTCTTATTATCCTGGCCTAGGTTTTAGGCTAGACAGTTCATTGGTTGGTCATTCCCTCAATCTCTAGATCACCCTTACACAAGCACGTCCCACAGGCAGGATAGACTCTAGGTTGAAGGTTTTGTGGCTGAGTTGGCTTCCCCACTCCCTCTCTCCACTTGAAGTCTTGCCTGGTCACAGGAGATGGCCAGTTCAGGCTACTTATCCACTACTGCCAGGAGTCTTAGCTGGGATCATCCTTGTAGATTCCTGGGAGATTCCCTTGTGCCTGATCTAGGCACTCTTGCATATAAGTTAGTTATATAGCTTGGTCCTCTTGTGAGTCTCCTAACAGAGGGAACAGAGGCTGTTTCCGAATCTTTTACTGGCTTTTGGGACCCTACTCCTTATACTGGGTTGCCTTGCCCAGTCTTAATATATGGGGAGGTGCTTTGTCTTACTGCAACTTGGTATGCCATGTTTGGTTGATACTCATGGGAGACCTGCCCTTTCCTAAGCAGAAATGGAGGAGGAGTGGATTGAGGGGGCAGGGTGGGAACAGAGGGGTGAGGGTGGGAGGGAGGGACTGGGAGGAAAGGAGAGTGGGGCAACTGTGGCTTGGATGTAGAATAAATAAATAAACCAAGAAAACAAGCAGAAAGTAAGAATTTGAAGGTACTAGACATGCCTTTAATTCCAGCACTTGGAGGTGGAGGCAGGCAGATTTCTGAGTTCAAGGCCAGTTTGGTCTACATGGTGAGTTCCAGGATAGACAGAGCCAGAGCCATAGTGAGATGCTGTCTTAAAAAGCGGGGGAGAGGTCATTTTATAGCTCAAAGGGAAAGCTAAACTGATGGAGATTAGGAGCTTTCTAAATAAACAGTTGCCTAGAGATGACCTGTTATTTGTCCTCAATATTGAGCAACCATACTTGGTCTGAGTCAGTGTTACATTTTCTTTTACTCATGGCTAGAGAAATTCTGAGGGGTGACAGACAAGCCTAAGAGAAATATAGTCCCCAGTGAAGTTACATGTATACCAAAGGCTCTTGTGCAGATGTCTGGTCTAGATTTACCTGAATAACAGCCTTCACAGGGGATAGAGGACAAGTTAGAGTTAATATAGAAGATTCGATCAGTCATTCTCAGACAGCCAGATTTGTGTCTAGTACAGAAACAATAGGAATGTTTTCCTAAAGGGTCCAAGTTTCTATAGTTACATTGCCATGGGAATGAAGGCTGTGATGTCATCACTGCCTGCTGTGGTCACATATGGAAACTTTTCCTTGAGGGATGGTCTTCCAGGCCTGGATGTTTTAAGGAGAGCAGGGCAAAGGCAGAGAGGAACCCCGGATAGGGCAAAGGCAGAGAGGAACCCCGGATAGGGCTCTTCCCCAGGACCTGTGTATGCAGTCGCTCCCTGTGGAGCACTTCTGGGTGGCTACAGCCCCAGCAGCTACCGGAGGGTACGAGAAGCACAAATCCTGAGATCGGTCAGAGTGAAGATTAACCTTACATAGCAAAATTGTACTTCCCTGCCCCTAAGCGATAGAGAGGCAGAAGTTTGGGTGGATTGGAGAGCCAGAGAGGGTGGGTGTGGTGGTGCCCACCTTTGGTGCACTCAGAGGCAGAGGCAGGCAGATCTTTTGAGTTTGAGGCCAGCCAAGGCAACATAGCGAGACCCTGCCTAATAAATAAATAAATAAATAAATAAATAAATAAATAAATAAATAAATAAATAAATCTGGACAGGTGTAAAAGACATACTAGTTAGTAAAAACAAAAGGCAAGGGCTGGAGAGATTGCTTAGCAGACAAGAACACCAACTGTTCCTCTAGGGCCTAGGTTTAATTCCCAGCATCCACATGGTGACTAACAACAGTCTGTAACTGCTGTTACAAGGGGATCCAACAACTTCTTCTGGCCTTCAAGGGCACTGCCTGATGGTGGTTCTCAAACACACACGCAGGCAAAGCATCCAGAAGCATAAAATACAAATCTAACTGCCCCACCCCCTCACACACAAAACCAGGCAGACAGGCTTCTATTGACCTAGCTTTGTCCGAAGAATACATTCATAGAAACTTTGTCTTTTTACAATGGAGGTCTCGAGAAATTCTGAGGAGCAGCTGTGTCTGTAGAGCTGTTTGCAGAGCTCACCTAGCCTGTATGAAGCCCTTGGTTCTGTCCTCAGCACCACGTCGTAATCCAGAAAGCCTACTCTTGTAGTTTCTGCTCTTGGAGTGGATGCTGCATGGTCAGAAGTTAAAGGTTGTCGAGAATAATTTCCTCTCAGGGGCTGGAAAGATGGCTCAGCTTTTAAGAGCCGTCAGCAGTCTTGAATTCAATTCCCAGCAAACCACATGGTGGGGCATGGCCATTTATAAGATCTGCTGCCCTTTTCTGGCATGCAGATATACATACAGATAGAGCGCTCATAGACATAAAATAGATCTTTTTTTTTTATTTGGAAATAGGATTTATTATTCAGTTTCTCCTGTTTTCCATTATGCTTTAAAGAAATTATGTTTACAATCTGAAAAGAAGACAACATTTTACTGATGTAATGTTTCACCTAATCTTATTTGAGCATCAATGAGACAACTATGTTGGAAATATCTGTGTTGTGCAAGGCTGTAACTTCATCTTGATCACCATATGAAGTTGGACAAAAGTAGACCCCACAAGTTGTCTTCTCGTCTCCACATATCTGTCATGGCCTAAAACCCATAGTCACATTACACAAACACACAACAGATTTAAAAAAATAGCATGGCATTACATTATCTGGCATTTCTGGATAATTCCCTTAGAAGGCAATACTTCAAGATATTATGTGAAATGGATAACTGATAAAGACATGAAGATACATGGAACTATAAATGATATCTACATATCCATAGTACATCCATTATACTGTGAAATATACAGTTGATTGCCAATTATGCCACTTCATTACATTTCTTCTAGATAGATGAAAAATGTTTCTTTGAATACACACACGAGGTATTTAATGTTTCTTATATTCTCTTCTATTAAGCATTTGGACATTAACGTTCTTAATATGTGTTGACAAAAGAGCAAACGCTGGGAGCACATCATATACCCTTGGACTTGACCTCAGGAGACCATGAGTTCAAATGTATCTTTGACTAATTACTAACATTCAAGCCAGGCTGAATGACAAACAACATTTCAAGGGAATCTGTGAAAAAATTATAGAAAATAAAACCAGGAACAAAAACCCACCACCCTTACACAGACACACTAACTTGGAAAGTATGATCACACGTCTATAAGGAGATCTGCTGCCCTCTTCTGGCATGCAGGTGTACATGCAGGTAGAGCGCTCAGACATAAAATAAATCTTTTAAAAATTATTTAAAAAAGAATAGTTTCCTCTTAATAAATAAATTTATTCAATTTTTAAAAAAAGATTGAAGCAGGCATGGGCTCCAATATATGTAGTAGTAATAATAGAAGGCTGAGGTAGGAAGAATAGTATGAGTTCAAGGGTACCCTTGAACTTATACTACTAAAAATACAAGTCACATATGCCACCACACCCAGCTTTAATCCCAGCATTTGTGAGACAGAGGCAGGAAGAACTCTCTGAGTTTGAGACCAGTCTAGTCTACAGAGCAAGTTTCATGCCAGCAGTGAGACCCTGTCTCAAAAAAATAATAAAACAAAAACCAAAACAAACAAACATAGGCTCTCTCTATCCCTGCCAAACTCACATAATGAAATCTACAGGTGTGGGGCCTGGAGAGATAGCTCAGTGGTTAAGAGCACTGGCTGCTCTTCCAGAGGTCCTTAGTTCAATTCCCAGCAACCACATGGTGGCTCACAACCATCTGTAATGAGATCTGGACTGCAGGGACACATGTAGGCAGAACACTGTATACATAATAAACAAATAAATCTTTAAAAAAAGGGCCAGACGGTGGTGGCGCACACCTTTAATCCCAGCACTCGGGAGGCAGAGCCAGGCGAATCTTTGTGAGTTCAAGTCCAGCCTGGTCTACAAAGTGAGATCCAGGACAGGCTCCAAAGCTACACAGATAAACCCTGTCTCAAAAAAACCCCCAAGAAATCTTAAAAAAAAAAAAAAAAATCTACAGGTATATCCAAGGTCATACAAATACTGTGTTTGTCTTTAGACAAATTCCTTTTCACATTTACTTTTTGTTTGTATGTCTCTGTATGTGCCCATTTGCCACAGATTAGTGTTAAGGTCAGAGGACAACTTGAGGTAGTTATCTCCTTTCACCATGTGGGTTCTTAGACTTGATGTCAGGTGCCATAATCATTTAATTAGTTCATTGGCCCAGTTTCGGGATTTTTTTTTTTTTGGCAACACTATGGCTTCATATTATTCATTCTTGGATTCCAGATTTATAGCTTACAGACACATGATGCCAAGCTCATCATATTTCTAAGTGTTGGAGGTCATTATATTTATAGTTGTCACCCTCCGGGAGGTTAAGGTGCTGCGAGGGAAAACAGTCGCCAGGGATCTACATAGTGAGACTGGCAGAATATATCTGTAGAAATAGTATTTAGTAGAAAACAGACTCGTGACACCATGACACGATACAAATGGACAATCTTTTCACTTCCCTTTTCAAACCCAACAAACCACAGTGTTTGAGATGCAGCTTAGCTCAGTGGTAGAACACTTGACCAACAAGCTCCAGGTCCTGGGTTAAACTGCCCATAGGGCAAACAACCTTGACAAGAAGAAACAACACAAAAAACCCAAACAGTGCTTGGCTAGAGGGCTCAGTAGGTAAGAGTGCATACTTGCAGAGGACCAGAGTTTGGTTTCCAGAACCTTCATGAGAACATTCATGATTGAACATAACTCCAGCTCTAGGGATCTCACTCATGCTTCTAACCTCTGGAAGTGCCTGCTTCATGTGCCCATACCTACACACAGACACACAGAAATCATTCAAGATTAAATAAACCTTAACAAAACAAAAACGAAAACAAAGTAACCCAATCCAAGCCAACAAAATCCTACATATGATGGAGTGTGAATCCTCAAGATCTACCGAGTTCTGTTCGGATGGTGGTTACTGTTAGGCAAGGCCACACCAAACCATTATTGGTGTAGAGGCACAAGTCTGCAGTCCTGGCATTGGATCAGCCAGGTTAAGAACATTAGTGGTCCAAGTGTGGCGGCACATGCCTTTAGTTCTAGTGCTCAGGAGGCAGCAACATGAAGATCTTTGTGAGTTGGAGGCCAGCCTGGTCTGTGCTGTAAGTTCCAGGACAGCCAGGCCTATATAAAGAGACTGGTTTTCTGTGTTTGTGTTTGCTTTTGGTTGTTGTTTTTTGGAGACAAAGTTTCCTTGTATAGCCCTGGCTGTCCTGGAACTTGCTCTCTAGATCAGGCTAGCCTCAAACTCAGAGATCCTTTTCCATCTGCCTTCTGAGTGCTGGGACTAAAAGCATGTGCCACCACCACCCAGGTAAGAGACCCTGTCTTAGAAAACCATTGGGGAAAAAAAAGGGAAGAAGAAAAGGATCACTAGAGACCAACTTGAGCTAATTACACAGTGAGTTCAAGTCAATTGTGGGCTACATAATGCCAACCTGTTTCAAAATACACAAATTATTTCTTGTCAGAAATCATAACTTGCGGTACATGGAGATAGCTAGGTGGATAAAGACACTTGCCAAGCAAGTCTGGTGATCTTGGTTAGATCCCTGAACACACAGAAAGGTGGAGTGAACTGATTACACACAGTTGTCTTCTGACCTACACACACACACACACACACACACACACACACACACACTGATTACACACAGTTGTCTTCTGACCTACACACACACACACACACACACACACACATACAATTAGAAGAAAAAATCATGACATTATATAAAGTCAAAATCCACTTTATTATTATTATTTTTTAATATGTTAGTCTCCAATTCTGGCCATGAGCTTATTTTTCAAATCTCCTAACAGTTCATCATGTTTTCTGAGAGGCAAGGAGTTGTGTGGTGATCCAATGTCACCCACTGACAAGTGTGTTCAACCCTCCTGGGCCCCCAGGAAGATCCCTGATCTAGCATGATTCAAGCTAGCCCAAAATTAGGCTTGTTGAGGCAAAGGGTCTTTCACTGAAGATGCTAGTCCTGGAAGGCTTCTCCTTCGACGGGCTGCCAGCTCAATTTTCTGAACCAGGCTCACATCCCAGGGATGGGTCACAAAACTGATGATGGTCCCTGGCATTTCACTGCCCACACGACCCACCCTTCCTGCTCTGTGGATGTAATCCTGCAGAGTAGGGGGAAAATCATAATTGACAACCAGTCCCACGTGAATGCTGTCTAGACCTCGAGAGGCTATGTCTGTGCAGACAAGTATGTCTTGGGAGCCATCTTGGAAACTCTGGAAGATACCTGCCCTCATTGAGGCTGGCATTTGCCCTTGCAGCCTTAGATGCTGGATTTTGTGGTCATCGAGAATATATCCCAGCCAGTTCACAGTGCTGGAGCTGTTGCAGAACACCAGGACAGTTCCGGAGGGTTTCGCCTTATTCGCTTTGTCATGCTGTTTGAGGATCTGAACCAGTTCTGTTACCTTCTCTGCTCCCTTTAGTCTCATAAATGTCTGTCTGACATGGGGCATGATGCAGTGGAGCTTGGAGCTGGTGATGGTGGTTAGACAGTCTGGGCTGGCGACTTTACTCAGCAGCTGGTTTACACCTTCTGGAAACGTGGCTCCCACCATCACTAACTGAGCTTTGGGATTAAAGGGGTCTTCTAACTCAGCTGGACTTTCTGCTATAACACTGTTTCCCAAGATGTAGTCCACAAGTTCCAGGAAGCTTTCATCTAGCAATGTGTCTGCTTCATCTAACACTATGAAGGAAAGATGCTGTAAGCTGATCAGTTGACTTTTCAGGGCCTTCCACAGAGCCCCTGGGGTGGCCACAAGTACATCCGCTGACGCTGACGACAGTTTACTCAGCTGCAGTTTGAGCTTACCCATGCCGAGGCCTCCTCCAATCTCTATCACCTGCAGGCCCAAGTACCTACCCAATGACTGGGCCACAGCCTGCACCTGTTGGGCTAATTCTCTGGAAGGTACCAGAACCAAGCCCCGGGGAGCCGCGGAACTGCGGGAGTCCAGGTCTGGCCTGCTCAGGAGACGTTGAAATAGGGGCAGTAGGTAGCTCAGAGTCTTGCCACTGCCGGTTTCCGCAGCGCAAAGAATGTGGCGTCCGCGAAGCAGCGGAGGGATGGTTTTCGACTGCACCGAGGTTGGCCGAACGACTTCGGGTGCAGCCTCCTGAAGCGCGAGCAGCACTCGGGGCTCCAGACCCAGGTCCACGAAACTGCAACGGGACGAGAGGTTCGCCAGGGCGGGCGCCTCTTGCTGCACTCGCTCTATGGAAAAATGATCCTGACGCGATCGCCGATGCTTCCAGCCGCGCGAGGCCAGGGGCGCGCACTCCCAACGCCCCAGCGTGAGGCGCGCGGGCTGGTTCAACTCCGGCCGCCGCGCCGAGACCAGCAGGGGGCCAGGTCGCACGAGCACCGGTAGTGGGCAACTCCCTCGATCGCTCTGTCGCTGTTGCTGCCGTCGCTGCAGAGCCCGCGGGATGCGCACCACTGGCAAGGGCTCGTCGGAACCGCGCACCGCTATGCTCCGTCGGGGCTCCAGAAGCGACCGAACGGCTGGTGACAACAGCCGCGTTGGCCAGGCTAAAGCCATAGTTCCCTTGATGCCGAAGAGGCGCATGCTAGTGACGTCAAGCACGCGACCGTGGTCTTGAGTACGGTGGCTGGCGCGGCTCAGTGTGGCGTGTGGCGTGAGGCACTGCAGCACCCTAGGAAGGAGGGAGGATCCTTACAGTTCAGTGGCTGCGAGGTCTGTAGGTTACCGTCGGGCGCGGCGACGTGCAGATTGGGGTCATCTTTGGGGAAGGGTGTTCGGTGGAGACAGGAGTGGGGGTCGGCAATAGGAGGTGGCCGTGGGGCCCTGGCTCAAGGCATCAGGAGTGAGGATGGCCTCGGTCAATTGGGTGCCTAATTTCTGAGATTCTTATTTGTGGTCATGGTCCCCTGCCAAGCGTCCCATAAAACTCCAAGGGTGCGGAGTGCGGCGATGTTTGCATAGGTAGGCGCTCTGCTCAAAGCCTGGGCGATCCAAGTGTAGTCAAGAGTCTGAATGAATGGTGGGCCTGGGGACTGAGGCAAAGGTTGGGAGGCTGGATTTAGGCTCAACCCTGCTCTCTAGTTGAGACTCGGAGTGCATGCTGGTGGCCTGCAGCTTATTTCGTCTCTGAAGTAGGAGATAAGGTCTCAAACGTTGTCCCTTCCTTCCCAGGCCAGCTTCCCCTCCATCCCGTGTCACCCCCTCCAGCTCTCATACTGGACTCACCACCCTTGATATCCATTGACTCCTCAGGCAGATTCTGAGTTGCCCGAATAGAAATAGTAAGAAGGGTCCCGTTACCCTTATGGAGTGATCAAACTTATCTCACACAGCAGACTACTTGACTTGAATTTAGTGGTTCAGCTTATTTTAAAAGGTTTTTTTTTTTGTTTGTTTGTTTTTTATTTCGTACTTCTTGAACACATCTGGGAAAAAAATGGGTGTCAGATATTTTATGTAGTGTGATGTGCCTGGAGTGGGAGATAAGGCCAATGTTTGTGGATTGATTACCTGGGAGGTACCTAACATCTGGAGAAAGTGTTTTAATTTCATTAACTAGAACTGGCCCTTCATATTTATAAGTGGATATCTGTGGATTTTTCCCACTGTACAGTGAAAAGATTCATGAAAAAAAATGTGTCTGTACTAAACATGTACATACATTTTCCTTTAATGTTACTCCCTAACAATATAGTATAACAACTATTTACATTGTGTTTGTATTGTATTAGTCATCATAATTTACAAATGATTTAAAACATATGGGAGAGGTTGGGATAGCTTAGTGATACCATGCTTGCCTACTGTCTTTTATGAAGTTCTAATTTTCAATCCCCGCCAAGAACAAAAGTATATAGATGGGTATGTAGGAATTTTATATAAGGGGCTTGATTGAACATCACCAGATTTTAGTACTTTAGAACTCTGAGGTTCTCAGAACCAGTCCCTGATAGCTACCTATTGATGGCAGTACCATTAAAAAGATCAACATTTAGGTGGGCATGGTGGCACCTGCCTTTAATCCCAGTACTTGAGAGGCAGAGGCAGGCTGGTCTCTGACTTGGAGGCCAGCCTGGTCTAAAGAGCATGTTCAGGTCAACCTGGACTATAATAGTGAGACCCCGTCTTTAAAAAAAAAAAAGTAGGACTTCTTTAAAAAAAAAAAAAAAGTAGGACATAGGTTTTTATTTTATTTTATTTTTCTTCTTTATGGCCGTGGGGTGGGAGCTGGGGCCCTGTGCATGCGTACTAAGCAAGGGCCTTACTAGTACCCTCCAGTCCCTGTGTTTGGTTCTCTCCCCACATCCCTCCATTTCTGTCTTTATGTAGCCCAGCAGCCCCAGCCCCTGCCTTCTCTCTGTTCCTATTGCCTCCCTCTTCACCGTAGCTCTAGTATGTGACTACTCCCTCCTAACTCACGGAGTCCCTGTCATCTCTCGCGTTGACAACTGAATGTCCTTTGAACTTAACCTCCCTGCAGTCCTGTCTGCTGCAGGCTCTTTCCTGACCCTTCCCCCAGTTTTCTGTTACTACAACAGTCATTGTGGTCCTGTGAAAACAGGAGTGAGCGCCTGCTACCTCCCCTCTTAGAACCCTTTACGAGGTCACCTTTGAAGAGGCAACAAAGTCTTGAGAATGTCCCACCTACTAGATTTCTACTTGGCTGCTCCAAATCTTCGTTTAAATCTTATTTTTTTAAATGACACATACCTCAGCTTCTCTATTTAAAACGGATTCTAATGCTTTCAGTCTTTCTTTGTCTGCTTTTTTTGTTTGTTTGGTTTTGGTTTTTCGAGACAGGGTTTCTCTGTGTAGTTTTGGTTCCTGTCCTGGAACTCACTCTGTAGACCAGGCTGGCCTCGAACTCACAGAGATCCACCTGCCGCTGTCTCCCGAGTGCTGGGATTAAAGGCGTGCTCTACCGCTGCCTGGCTCTTTGTCTGCTTTTTAATTTTTTTTTCCAGTACACTATATAATGGTTTATTTATTTATATATTTACTAGTTTTTTTGCTAGTACTCCCCTACTGGACTGAACACTCTGCCAGGCAGGAGTCCTGTTAGTCCTGCTAGTCCGTTTTGTTCTCTGAGACTATGACAGTGACTGGCACTTAATGAATAGTTGTTAGGTGAACAGCTGAGCATGAACCAGAGATGAGTGTTGGAAGTATGGAGGATGCCTGCCCTGGGTGATAGAAGGGATTTTTTTCCTCACTAAGTTTCTTTTTTTCTTTTCTTTTTCTTTTCCCCCTCTGGTCTTTTGAGACAGGGTTTCTCTGTGTATTTTTGGAGCCTATTCTGGATTTTGCTCTGTAGCCCAGGCTGGCCTCGAACTCACAGAGATCCACCTGCCTCTGCCTCCCAAGTGCTAAGATTAAAGGCATGCGCCGCCACCACCCTGCTCTTTTTTTAAGTTATTTTATTATATATATATATATATGTAAGCATTTTTGCCTGCATGTGTATCTTTGCAGTACATGTGTGCTTGGTGCCTGTGAAGGTCGGAAGAGGGTGTCAGAACCCCTGAAACTGGAGTTACCGAAGGTTGTACGCTGCCCTGTAGGTCCGGGGAATCAAACTCAGATTCTCTACAAGAGCAGTACATGCTCCTAACTACTGAGATTTCCCTCTATATATTTTTTAATTTAAAAATCATTTTTAGGGGGCTGGAGAGATGGCTCAGAGGTTAAGAGCACTGGCTGCTCTTCCAGAGGTCCTGAGTTCAATTCCCAGCAACCACATGGAGGCTCACAACCATCTGTAATGAGATCTGGTGCCCTCTTCTGGCTTGCAGACATATGTGCTAGCAGAATACTGTATACAAAATAAATTAATTAATTAAAAAAAATCATTTTTAGCCAGGCGGCGGTGACACACTCCTTTAATCCCAACATTCGAGAGGCAGAGGCAGGCGGATCTCTGTGAGTTCGAGGCCAGCCTGGTCTACAGAGCAAGATACAGGACAGGCACCAAAACTACACAGAGAAACCCCATCTTGAAAAAACCAAAACAAAAAAAAAATTATTTTTAATTGTGTGTGTGTGTGTGGTGGGCATGACCTAGGTCAGAGGACTTTCAGGAGTCAGTTCTCTCCTTCCACTGTGGGTTCCAGGGATCAAACTCAGGTAGTCGGTCTTCCAGCAAGTGCTGTTACCCCCTGAACCGTTTCACCAGCCCACCGCTGTGTTTCTAACCTGTTTTCCCGTTCTTCAGGCCCAGCAGAGGAGGAATGATTGTGAACAGCCTCTCCCTGTGCTACCACAATAAACTCATCTTAGCCCCCATGGTTCGGGTGGGGACTCTACCAATGCGGCTCCTAGCCCTGGATTACGGAGCAGACATTGTTTACTGTGAGGTAAGGCATTCCTGGTTTTCTGGGAGTCTTAGGGGAGGGGGAACAGCTTTCATCTTTGGGTATGGCAGTATTTGGGAGTGGGAGAGGCAGAATGGGACCTCCACTCATGGTCTCCCTAAAATCAGGAGAGATCAACACACATGACACTGATGAGTTCTGCTGGTCCAGAGGCTCTCAGCAACTTAGGTGGCAGACAGCTGTGGGTCAGATGGGTAGATGGGCATCCTGTCATGTCACTGCCCAGGTCCCCATTCAGTACACCAGCGAACTAACTGACATTTGGAAGAAGAGAAAGAGAACCAGATTCAGGGTGAGGAAGTTGGATAAGGTCGGCATAGGTAGCTATAGGATTTTTTGGTGATAGGTCAGTAAATATATCCACTGGTGCTCCAGGGATTACTGGGGCTTCAGACCCAGGTTCAGAAAGATCTGATAGGAAAATGGAATTACAAGAGTAAGCTGATACTGGGTAGTGAGGGAGTGTTCTCAGTTGAACACTTATCAGAATTTTCTGGAGGCTATCAGAACATGACTGTCAAAATGTGTGGTAGAAGAGACTTCACACCTCATATCAACCAAGAGACAGAGAAAATGAACCAGGCATTCATACCCCTTAGACATACTTCCTTCAGTTAGGCCACATCTCTGCAAGTTTCTATCATCTCCCAATAATATCATTAGATTAACTTACTGATAATGTCAAAAGCCCCACTTCTGGAAATGTTGCATTAGGGACCAATCTTTTAACAAATAAGTTTTTTTTCTTTCTTTTTTTTTTTTTTGGAGTTAGCATCTTACTATGTCGTCCAGCCTAGCCCCACAGTCTATTCTGTTAGGCTTCAGTTCCCCAAGTGCTGAGAGGTAACATGCATAGATCTAGCTACATAAGACCCATCTCAAAACAAAAACAAAACCCAAACCAAAAAAAACTCTAAGCAATCAACCAGATAGCTGATCAGCCAGATAAATAAATGAACTTTGTGAAGAAAACCACAAGGTATTTGATAAGAGAAGGAGGCCACTGGGAACAGCTGTAGAGCATTAGAGGGCTCAGAGCTTGAAGAGGGAATAGCAAGCCAGGAGACAGAAACCGGACTTGTGACCACTCTGTCAGGTAGTTAAGGTTAAGGGTAGGGAGAGGATAGGCAGGTATAGGTAGCTTGAGGTTTAAAAGAAGTAGGGTGGCGAAAGTGACTTGAAAATGACTTGCATGTTTATAGAATAAGAGGAAGGAAGGCATTCGGTACAAGGTGGGTCAGGCAAGGTCAGGATTTTGTTTTTGATGCTGGAGATGGAATCTAGGACTTTGCGGGTCTTAGACAAGTATTCTACCATGAATCACACCCTAGTTTAAAATCTTCTTTTAACAAAATGTTTGTGTGGGGAGGAGCTAGAGTTGCATTCGAAGGTCAAAGGACAGTTCTGGGGGGTGGTTCTCTAAGTCCCCCTTGGGTTCTGCAGACGGAACTTAGGTCATCACGTTTGTGCAGGGGGGTCTTTTACTTGCTGAGCCACCTTCCTGGCTCCAGGGTTTTTTTTTTTTTTTTTTGACAGAATCTTACCTTTGTAACCCAGGCTGTCCACAGTCTCCAGAGTGCTGGGACTATAGGCATGTGCCACCATATCCAGGTGCCAGCTGTTGTTGACATTTCTAGAGAGATGTGAACAAACATATACTCACCCCAGATAGGGTAACAGTAACAGAGCGAAGTACAGATACCACCAAAGTCCAACTTGCTGAGCAAATGAGTTTTCTTTTCTTTTCTTTTTTGAGATTATAATGATCCAAATGAGTTTTATTGGAGTTTCTTGAAGAGTTACATACAGGAGCAGAAATGACTCACAGGCACTGTATTACCAAAGCTCACCCCAGCGTGGGTGGTGACTCACAAAGGCTGGGAATGTAGAGTGCATTGCACAACTTTCAGGCAGCTAGACAGGTTGGAGAAATGTTTCTTAGAGGCAGCCCAGTTGGTTTGAGCCTCTTCTAGATAGTTCAGCCAGTCTCTGTCCTTCTAGGTGGTTTAGCTAATCTGAGCGAGACAGTAATTTTTAAAAATCCTAACTACTTATATGTGCTTGGTGGGAGGAGCCTGGTATATCCGATTAGTTTCAGTAACTTCCTGAAGCCTTTGAGTTGTTTACTTCCTGAGCCTAAGGTGTTCTCCTTCAGGAAGGAATGTTTCACATCTTAGGTCCTTGAGAGACTCCCTCCAGCATAGAAGGTGAAAGGATGGAAGATTTCACCTCTTTTTAGAATATCCAGTGTTAGTCAGGCCTGGTGGCACATGCCTTTAATCCCAGCACTTGGGAGCCAAAGGCAGGCTGAGCTCTGTGAGTTCAAGGCCAGCCTGGTTTACAATGTGAGTTCCAGGACAGGCAGAGCTATACAGAGAAACCCTGTCTGGAAAGAAAAACTAAACGAAACAGTTTATCTAGTGTGGTTAGCTAGCTTTCCTCCAGGAGGAAAGGTTTTATCTTGGAGGAAATTGCTTCACAACACCAGCCTAAGCTTCTTGGCAAAGTGGTAGGACAAGCCCCTCTCTGAGGTGACAGGCAAAGAAGGAAGAAGTAATGGAAGGAATTCAGCCAAGAGGTCCCTATAGGCTTATAGGACGGTTAGGAAGCCACTCTTCTGTTGGAAATGAGGAAGGGGGTAATGAAATGATCCGTGTGGTATAGTTATTGACCACCATGCTGATTGAGCCCATTATAGTTTTGAGTCCTTTTATTAATGGCCAGACCAAGAGTGGGCCAGACCCTGTGCCTCTGAAAGGTCTCTTGATGCCCAAGATCAGGTGTAAGGGTTTTTTCCAGCACCAGGGTATTTTGGCAGCCAGGAGCCAAGAAATTCCACAAAGTTTCACTGTGCAGCAAACCTCACACAAGAGATGTATTGGGAACAAACACAAGGGAGTGGCTGCCTTTGAATGGGAAGAGAGAGCAGAGGGCTGGGCAAAGGGGAGGAGGGCTTTTATAAGGCCTTGGAGCATGTGCAATGAGAAGGGTGTTCTTCCTTTGTCTCTGGTCCCACATCAGAGGTGTAGCGTTTTCAGAGACAAAACCATGATTATGGGAGGTCGTACCTTAGTGAGGGATTTAGAGTGGCCTAGTAACATCTGCTTTCTTTTTTTGGTTTGTTTGTTTGTTTGTTTGTTTGTTTTGAGACAGAGTTTCTCTGTATAACCCTGGCTGTATTGGATCTCACTCTGTAGACCAGGCTGGTCTCAAACTCACAGAGATCCGCCAGCCTCTGCTTCCTGAATGCTGGGATTAAAGGTGTGTGCCACCCCCAGCCCCAACCCCACCCCCACAACCACCCACCACCACCACTTGACAACATGTGCTTCTTTTGCAAGGCTCAGCAGTATCTTCTAGACACTGCATAAGTCTGGCCATAGTCAAGGTCACAGACAGTCCCAGAAGCACTGCCAAGGCAAAGGTAACTGTTAGGGATGGTGGAGTGTGGAAGGCTTGACCAGGCAGAAACAAAATAAAGTTGGGATGGGATGGCATTACTAGTCATTTCAACAGGAACTTGTGGAAGGTGATGCTTTCATCCTGTTCCTGTGGAGATGAGGGTGTAGTTTGACTTGGCAGCTGGATATACTTGCTCACAGCCTTATGGAACAGAAAGCTGAGACGCCTGGTAGGAGGTATGCCTATGGTTGGGGATTGTGCTGGTACTTGGAGTAGCATAGGGCCAGGGGTTTCAAGATGATGGCAGGGTGAAGTGGAGGAAGGGAGGAAGAAAGGGAGGTTCACCAATGAGATCTTTCTCTCTCTTTGTTTTTTCAAGACAAAGTCTCATTGTGATTCAGGCTGTCCCCAGACTATCTACATATCTAAGGCTAGCCTTGAAGTCTAGATTTTCCTGACTCTAGCTCCCAAGTGCTGTGAGTTCCCAAGTGCTGGGATTGCAGGTATGTGCCACCATGGGCTGGCTGTTCCAGGAATTCAATGCAGAGGGCAGAAAGCATGTTCTGAATTGAGGCACACAGAGGCTCACGTCCTCATTCCTAGGTATTTGTAGGGAATGTGATGGAACTGTTAGTAAGCAGGTCCATAAGCTTTCCCAGTGTCAGAACACACCTAGGCAGGGGAAGCTGCTTCCTGGGATCAGGTACTGGGACACCAGACCTGAATCATCTGCCTCCTCAGAACCCTGGGGTGCTCAGCTGTGTGTTATCATAGTTTTTCTTGGCTGGCACTCATCTTTATCCTCCAGAAAAGTTTCTTTGGTTTGGAAGGGAAATAGGAAGAAGAATAATAAAGAATCACTGACTTCTCAGAGCCTGAGGCCTGGGGGACAAGAAAGACCAAATCCCAAGGAACAGACAACTGTTAACTTTTTTTTTTTTTTTTTGAGCCAGGGTCTAACTATATAGCCTTGGCTTTTCTAGAACTCACTATGTAGTTCAGACTGGCCCCAAACGCCCAGAGATCCACCTGCTTCTAGCTTCCTGAGTGTAGGAATTAAAGGCATGCACCACCATGTCCAGCAGACAAACGTTGACTTTTCCTTGCTTATGGTGAACCCGCACGCTTCTGCAGGACAACAGAGAGGGACATGTTAGCTCTTCACCTGTGTAGTCCTGTGTTGCCGAGCAGGTACAGTGGATGATAGATTCCAGGGGAAGCCCCCAGCCTGCCTGCTGTTCGGCTCCATCTCTGTCCAGCCGTGCCCTCCCAGGGTCAGGGTGAATGGTGTCCCTCTCCATTGTACTTGCATTTTACATTCTGTCTTCATCGGTAAATGTTTGTCCACTCCATGTCCTGTCTCTTCCTAAGTCTGTGCCTGTAGTAAGAAAGACTTGATCCCTGGAGTGCTGGCCTCTTGTCCCTGCCATGCCCCCCATCTTGTTAATTTCATGTACTGGAACAGGTGGTGGTAAGGGCCTCAGCTCTTTAGAATCATCAGCTCCTGAGTGCTGGGATTAAAGGAATCTTTTAGTCTCAGAGGAAACTCCTACACAGCAATGTCTGTGCAAGCTGTGGGTGCCTGGTGCCCCAGGAGGCCAGAAGAGGGCATAGGATCCCTGAATCTGAGTTAGGAGTGGTTGTGAGCTGCCATGGGAGGCACTGGAAATGAAACGTAGAACTTTTTTTTGTTTTGTTTTGTTCTGTTTTGTTTTTTTTGAGACAGGGTTTCTCTATGTAGCTTTGGTACCTGTCCTGGAACTCACTCTGTAGACCAGGTTGGCCTCGAACTCACAGAGATCCGCCTGGCTCTGCCTCCTGAGTGCTGGGATTAAAGGCGTGCACCACCACCGCCCGGCAACCTGGGATTTTTTTCAAGAGCAGCAAGTGCTCTGAACCACTAAGCCATCTCTCTATCCCCATTGTAACCATTTTTAGTGTATAGTTCAGTAGTGTGAAGTATATCTGTGTTGTTATGAAACAGACCTCATCTTTCAAAACTGAAATTACATAAGAGCAACTCCCCTCTTACCTTCCTCTCTAGCCTCTGATTACCACTATTCTGTTTTCTGTTTCTCCAAGGAACTCAGATAAGTGGAACCATACCGTATTTATCATTGTTTAGCTAGTTTATTTTACCTAGCATAATGTCTTTTTTTTTTAAAAAAAGTTATTCTAATTTATGTGGATATGTTCATGTAAGCACAGTATTTGTGGAGATCACAGCAGGGTATCAGGTCCCCTGGGACTGGAGTTACAAGCAGTTGTGAGCCACCTGATGTGGGTGCTGGGAACTGAACTCTAGTCCCCAGTAAGAGCAGCAGGTGCTCTTAATGTTGAGCCATCTCTCCAGACTCTAGCATAATGTTTTTAAGATTTATCTAAGTGGTAGTGCACGCCTTTTAATCTCAGCACTCGGGAGGCAGAGCCAGGCAGATCTCTGTGAGTTCGAGGCCAGCCTGGTCTACAGAGTGAGTTCCAGGACAGGCTCCAAAGCTACACAGAGAAACCCTGTCTAAAAAAAAAAAAAAAAAACAACCACAACAACAAACCCCAAAACAAACCAAAACCAAAACAACAACCACAAAAAAGATTTATCTAGGCTGTATGTGGTAATACATGTCTTTAATCCTAACCCGGAGGCAAAGGCATATCTGACTGAGTTCCAGGCCAGCCTTGAGCTATGTAGCAAGACCCTGTCTAAAAATCAAAAGAAAACAATATAAAAATAAAACCAAATTTACCTAGCTAATGAGATGGCTCACTGGATAAAGACTCTTGCTGCCAAGCCTGATGACCTGAGTTCAATCCTTTGAACATACATGGTGGAAAGGGAGAAACTACTCTCAAGTTTCCTGTCCTCTATGTGTGTGAATGACATGGCGCGCGCGCGCGCGCACACACACACACACACACACACACACACCCTCCCTTAATTTTTTTTTAAGTTTATTCCAAGCTGACCACAAACTCACTGTGTAGCCAAAGATGACCTTGAACTTCAGATTCTCTTGCTTTTGCCTTCTAAGTGCTGGTATTACAAGTGTGCAACCCATTTCTATTTTTATGCAGTTTTGGGGGTGAAACTCAGGGCTTTGTGCATGGTAGGCAAGCACTCTACCATCTCCATTTCATTTCTGCCTTTCTGTTTTGTTTTGTTTGAGACAGGGTGTTACTGTTTAGTCCTGGCCGACCTCGAACTCACAGAGATCTGCCTGCTTCTGTATCGTGGGAATTACAGTCATGAGCCACTGTACCCAACATTCTAGGCAGGTCTTGAATTTATGACTCTCCTGCCTTCACTTTTCCAAATGCCAGGCTTACAGGCAGACACTGCCATGCCCGGCTTACTTTTGGTTTTGTTACTTTGGTCATACCAGGGAACAAATTCAAAGCTACACCACTGAGCTACATTGCCAGCTCTTTGAAAATTTTTTTGAGTGTTAATGTGGTACAATTGGTTAGCTTGTTCAACTGTTTAAAAGTTTGTTTTGGGAATGAAGAGATGGCTCAGTGGTCAAGAGCACTCGCTGCTCTTGCAAGAGGATCCTGGTTTGGTTCCCAGCACTGACAAACCATGCCATAGCCATATGTAACTCCAATTCTAGAGTATCCAGTGCCCACTTCTGACCTCTGTAGGCACGAGGCATTCACATGGTGTATATGCACATGCAAGCCAAACATTCATACACATAAAATAAAAATAAATATTTTTTTCAAATATATGATTTTATATTTAAGGTATGAGCTCACAAAGTTGACTAGACTGCCCTTAAACATCTAACTTCTGGGGCTGGAGAGATTGGCTCAGAGGTTAAGAGCACTGACTGCTCTTCCAGAGGTCCTGAGTTCAATTCCCAGCAACCACATGGTGGCTCACAACCATCTGTAATGAGATCTGGTGCCCTCTTCTGGCCTGCAGTCATACATGCTGTATACAAAATAAATAATAAATCTTTAAAAACAAACAAACAAACAAACAAACAAACAAAAACATCTAATTTCTACCTCTGCCCCTCAAGTAGTTGAAATCACAGACATGGGGCATAGAATCATAACCACGTGCCCAAATTTGACTGTGGTTCATTTGTTCAGGACTGGACAGTAGATGTTTGATGATTTGAATGTTGTATTGAAAGAACAGACACAGAAATACATAGAACATATGTTTACCTACATGTTGGTTTTGTTGAGAGATGCCACATGGATGCCATCAGGACCTTTTGATCATCCCCTTGACACTCCTATGCATGTAACGGTATCCACCAGGCTGGGGTTGTGGTTTGCTGAGGCTCCTAAGAGGTCAGTATGGGGATGAATATCTTGGATGGTAGTCTTTTACTTTCTTTTGGATGCCCAAAGTCCATGGCCATGAGCTTCAGACTCGTCTTCCACATCTGCTGAAATAATCACTGAACAAAGCATTACAGTGTTGTAGCCAGCGAAGAATTACCCACCAGTAGACATCTAATTTTCTCCATTTATAATGCTGATTTTGAAGAAATCTCTTTTTCCTTTCTGTCCTGAATCTGCTGGAATATCTTACCCTGGTTGGAGGCTCACCTCTTTGTTTACATACAGTAAGCTGAGTAGATTTTTCTTTCCTGTGTCTGTCTCACATCTTCCTCTTGGGGCTTTTATTCTCTATTTCTCATTTTGTCCTTGGCTGTTCCCTAGCAGCCCTTCACTGTCTGCCCTTTGACTAGTAATTGCAGTGGGAGGTTTCTTTGAAGTGGTGGAGCTTGAGCTGAGACTAGTCTCTAAGAACAGTGTCTCAGTGTCTGTATCCTGGACGATTCTCTTCTTTCTAGCACTCTGAGTGGCTCATCCTTTGTTAGCTCCAAATATCTCCAGGGTCTTGGAGAAAACAGCAGATTCATGGTAGCTCACTCAGGGCCTTGCTTGCCATGCTTAGTTGTAGGAAACAGGACAGTGTGTCCCCAAAGCTGTGGTTTGTTGTCAGTATTGTGGTTATTGGCTAAATAGTGGTCATCATGAATATAATAAAGATCTTCCATCTGTGTGGAGGCCTCGTGTCCAGGATTGATGAATGTCTTCTGATTCCTCTGCAGGAGCTGATTGACCTTAAGATGCTTCAGTGCAAGCGAGTTGTAAATGGTAAGTGTAGCCCTGGCCTCCAGATTCTGTGTGTGCCCAGGTGGCTCAAGCAGAACTGTCACTGCCTTTGCCCAGGATCCTCATAGTTAGTGAAACCTTGTCTTAAAACAAACAAACTTCAGTATTACTGGGCCAGTGGTGGTAATGTATGCCTGTAACCTCATCACTTTGACAGAGGGATTGGGAATCTAAGGCTTGTTTTTGAGACCTTGTCCAAAATAAATTTTAGTATTTTGTGTAACCTAGAAAACAAAAATGTTCCAGAATCCCATACCTAAAGTGGAAATCACAAAAGGAATAGTGTATGTTTTCCTACACATATAATAAGCATAGTGTTCATATATAAATGTGACTTGTTTGTCTGTCTTTCCCCAGGGGATTCTGCCTCACATTCTGCTTTGCCACGTCTTTTTCTGCTGGGATGTTTTCTGTGTCAGAAGCTATAGGTGACTCTGTCAGAATGGGTGTCATCAGCTCTCTAGTGGGATTTTCCAGTATTTTGCTGTTATAATGCCGCATCATAAACACACCAGTTTTGTATGGTCTTAGACTTCTTACCATCCTTGGCTGTCACTTTCCCAACAAGTCATCCCTTTACCTTTTATAACTGCTGTGGGGTATTCACCAGAGAGGACTCCCCAGATACGGGTTTAAGCCAATAGAAAGTCTTTATTAGCTGGCTGTCAACTACACTGGATGGGTGGGATCCCAGTGTAGCCCCAAGCCTTTCTCGAAGTTAGCTTTTAAGCACAAAAACCATGTTCTAGGTTGACATACTTCAGTTAACAAGAACAAGTAGCCAGAAGCAGAACTACAGAAGCCAGAAAGTGAGGTTAGTACATTTAGAGACTTTCCCAGAACTATGGGCTTTGATGGATTAGGCCTTTGTTTTAGTTTTGGCAGGTGGTGCTGTCCATGTGCTGAGTATTTCAGCCTGAATGACACTTCCTTTTCTTCTCTTTCTTTCTTTTTTGTCTTTGGAGACAGGGTTTCTTTGCATACCCTCAATGTCCTAGAACTAGCTCTGTAGACCAGGCTGACCTCGAACTCAGATCATCTGCCTGCCTCTGCCTCCCAAGTGCTGGGATTAAAGGCGTGCGCCACCACTGCCTCTGGGCCTGATTGGCACTTTCATCATGGGGTCAGTTGTGCTAAGATCTGGGTCCTGTTACAGTGACCGCCTATATATTCGGTACTGGGATGTTAATAATATATTCCATTTGTGGGTGTGCTTCACCTGCTTAACAGACCTCCTGTATTCTTTTCTTTTTTTTTTCCAACATAATATTTTTATTGATTCTTTGGGAATTTCACATAATGTACCCCAATCCCACTCACCTCCCAGTCCTCCCAGGTACACCCCCTTCACCCTTGTGTATTCCTCTCCCCCCCAAAAAAAAGAAGAAAGAAAAAATAAAAGCAACAAAAAAATTAAAAAAGCCAAGTCCAATATGTATTGCTCATCTATTCACTGAAGCATGGTCAAACTCCTGGTGGCCAGTCCTTTAAAGAAAACTAATCCTTTTCTACCTGTACCCCCTCCAGAAGCCATCGGCTGTGGAGAGCTACACTTCACATGCTTAACTCAATTTTTATTTATTTATTTATTTATTTATTTATTTATTTATTTATTTATTTATTTACTTATTTATTTTTGTTTTTCGAGATAGGGTTTCTCTGTAAATAGCTCTGGCTATCCTGGAACTTGATTTGTAGATCAGGAAGCCCTTGAACTCACAGGGATCTCCCTGCCTCTGCCTCCCGAGTGCTGGGATCAAAGGTGTGTGCCTCCGCTTCTGGCCCTTATCACAATTTAAGAGTTCTCTTCAATGGCTTCTTGTTTAGGCTGTTACTTTTTTTTTGGTGGGGAGGGGGTGTTGTCACAGAAGCCTTCTATGTGCCTCTTTCTCAACTGTGAGTCTGCAGTCATCGATACGACTGCGAAAGTAGCCTCCTTGCCTTTTATAGTCAGAGGGAGCACAGATCATGGACTTCCACATGTTTCTGGCAATAGCCCATGCCACTGACATCGGTCAGCATGGTCTCTGGTGGCAGTACAGACCATGGGCACCCACACAGCCCTCTGTCGCATCGTGGGCACGGACATCATCGTGGCCCTTGGCAGCAGCACAGGCCAGACATCAACATGGCCTCCAAGGCACAGGCCATGGATACCACTGTGGTCCCCACTGGCAGTCTAGTCCATGAACATCAATATGGCTTCAGGCGTTGGCACAGACCACAGACATCTGCATGGCTTTTGGTGTTAACACTGGCCATAGACGTCAACACAACCCCCAGCTGCATCAGGACCACGGACCCCAGCATGGCCCTTGGCAGCAGCACAGGCCAAAGACCCTGGCATGGCTCAGAGCCAGGGTGATTGTTTGGCTGGATGGTGTGTTCAGGGATTGAGTCTACAAAACTCCAGACTGATGCACACCACCCTGGCGACCTTACTTGGTGACAATGAGTTCCCTATCCTGGACAGCCTTCTCCCACATCTGTCACTGATGTTGTATCTCTAGTCTGCCTCTTTTCACAACACACTCACCGATCTGTTCCCCCATCTTTCCCACCTCTGTCCCACCTCTCCATCTTACATTTGTTTGTCATAGTGATATTGGAAACTGCAGTGTGACACACTTTTTTTTGTTTTGTTTTGTTTTGTTTTTTTGCCCAAACAGCTTTACATGGAAATATTCATTCCAACAAGTCATTCATTGGTCTGGTTCAAGGTTTCCGGTTTCTGACACACCATAAATACTGGAACCTCTCTGAGACTTGTCTCAGATATCCTGCTGTTGCCCAGAGTCAGGGTGATTTGCAGCTAGGCAGGATGTCAGGGGCAGGTTCTGTGCGAGCTCCAGGCTGCTTGCTGCACACCTCTCAGCCCTCAGTGTTGGCCTGCTGAGCTTAACCTTTGTGCTGCAGATACAGGCAGCTCCACTGCTCCATGCTCTCCATCTCCCAGCAGGGCAGGCAGCATGGGCTGCAACTGCAGTGGCTCCATGCTGGGGGCCAGCTGGGGGGACGAGGACCAGCTCTACTCAGTAATAACATCTGGTTCTGCAGGACCAGC